TAATATGATATTGAGAATGATAATTGTTTATTTATTTGGCGTATTGAGGTGGCTGGATGGAGTCACCGAAGCAGTCGACGTGAGCTTAAATGGACTCCAGAGGACAGGAAGTCCTGGAGGAACGTTGTCCATGGGGTTGAGATGGGTCGGACACGACTTCGCAACTAACAACAACAAAGTGATAAGAAAGAGCAAGCATAATCTGAGAGTGCCGCTAGGCAGGTAGAGAGAGAGCTGATCCAGCGGACTTTAGATATTTGGGTTTGGAAATTTGGGGGGAGGGCAAAGTCTGTCCTGGTGATTCTTGAGTAAATTTTACCATAAGTAGATTAAGAGGGTACTGTAAAAGACAGGAATTGGACATTAATGGACATTAAGACATTATTTCTAAAAAACTCTTTAAGGGATGTTCGTTTGCTGTTCTGTTTTCTTTGTACAAGTAGTCCTCGACTTACAACCGCCATTGAGCCCAAAATTTATGTTGTTAAGTAAGAAATTTGTTAAGTGAGTTTTGCCCCGTTTTATGACTTTTCTTGTCGCATTTGTTAAGGGAATCACTGCCGTTGTTCAATTAGTAACACGGTTGTTAAATGAATCTTGGCTTCCCCATTGACTTTGCTTGTCAGGTGGTCGCAAAAGGGGATCACGTGACCCAGGACACGGCAACCCTCATCAATATGAACCGGTTGCCAAGTGTCCAAATGTAAATCACATGACCCTGGGGATGCTGCAACGCTTGTTAGTGTGAAAAAATGGTCATAAGTCCCTTTTCTTCAGTTCCATTGTAACTTCGAATGGTCACTAAATGAACTGTTGTAAGATGAGGACTACCTGTATAGCTAATACTGAGGCAATTGCTACAGCAAGTTTGTAGAAGACAGAGAGTCAGAGAAATAACATTTCAAAAATAAAAGTGGTCTCTCTCTCTCTCTCTCTCTCTTCTCACTGTCTCAAAAGAAGAAATCTGTACTAAGTATTTAGCTTTAGTATCCAGTACATTTCTTCCCTAAGATCCAGTTTGGTGTGGTGGTTAAGAAAGTTGGGAGTCCCACCTTAGACATAAAGCCAGCTGAGCTGGGTGATCTTGGGGTGATCACTTTCTCTCAGCCCTAGGAATGAGGCTCTTCTGAAAAGCCAAGGGTTTTTTTAAAAAATTCAGATAATGGGGTTATTAACAGGGATGCGGTGGCTCAGTGGCTAAGATGCTGAGCTTGTCAATCGAAAGGTCGGCAGTTCAGCGGTTCGAATCCCTAGTGCTGCATAATGGGGTGAGCTCCCATTACTTGTCCCAGCTTCTGCCAACCTAGCAGTTCAAAATCACTTAAAAAATGCAAGTAGAAAAATAGGGGCCACCTTTGGTAGGAAGGTAACAGCATTCCGTGCACCTTTGGCATTTAGTCATGCCGGCCACATGACCACAGAGACGTCTTTGGACAACACTGGCTCTTCAGCTTTGTAACAGAGATGAACACCGCCCCCTAGAGTCGGGAATGACTAGCATATATGTGCGAGGGGAATCTTTATCTTTACCTTCATGGGGTTATTACACTTTAAATAAATAACATCCTAATTTGCAGGAAGTCATTTGTGGTGAAAACCTGGGTCCCCCAGTCCCTTAAACTAGGGCTAAAGGAAGGTAGCAGCTTCTACCAAAATGTACTTCATTTCCAAAGGTTGTGGGGAGAAGTCCAAATGGGCTCCATCACTCACCCTCACCAAGATTAGCATTTTAAAAAAAAACCCTATTTCTTTCCATGTTATTTCTCCGTTCTTCCTATGGCAGTGCTTGGCACAAATCACTTCACTCTGCTGAACGATAGGACCAGCCACACTGGTTAGTGTTGTTTGTGCGAAGTTCTCACCTTCAGATCTTCAGAATGGGTACCTATAAATAGCTTTCTTCTCACAATCTACCTTAATGTAATTTTTTCCCCTCTATTCTTTCCATCTGTCAACCTCTATGACTTAGTAAAGGAGGATGTCCAGGAAAATCCGAAGTCTCTGGAAGTCGGGTTTTTTTGAAAAAAGTGATTTGTTATTTGTCAGGAATTAAGAGAACTGCTCTGCTTATTTTAAGTATTGAACCATTTGAAGCCCCGAAAGCTATTTAATGACCAAACCATGCTGCAAAGAAATATGCTCCACTTCTCTGTATTTTATTGGCTTTCTTTCTTCGCACTGAAATGGGCTACTGCACATATGACAATTGGTGGAGAAACCTGTTAGCTGCTGAAGATGCTTTCAGAACTGCATTTGAAAAATATTTGGTTTAAGCCGGCTGCATTTAATGTAACAAACAGGTAACGCTTCAAGTGCTGGTTCTCACCTATAAGGCCTACATGACTTAGGTCCGGGATATTTGCAGGACCTTCTCCTGCCTGCCTCTCACCGTCCTGTTCGCTCACATAGGGCTGCTCTCCTCAGGGTTCCAATGGCGAGCCAATGTCGTCTGGCGGTGCCCAGGGGTAGGGCGTTCTCTGTGGGTGCTCCCACCTTCTGAAATGAGTTGCCTACTGAGCTCCGGACGGCTCCTGATCTCCGCTCCTTCCGTCGGGACCTGAAGACTTGGCTGTTCAAGAAAATAGGCTGACTCCGATTCTGGGTTTTATTATTTATTAGTTAATTTGGTTTAAAATGGGATTTTGTTGTACATCTTTTTAACTTGTGTTCACCGCCCTGAGTCCTTCTGGAGAAGGGCGGCATATAAATACATTAATTAAATAATTAAATAAATAAATAAATAAATAAATAAATAAATAAATAAATAAATAAATAAATAAATAAATAAATCCTATAGCCTTGCTTGGAGCTACAAATTGGCCAAATCCAGTACCTATCGCTGCAATGTTGTATCTTGAAAACCCTGTATGGGGGGAGGGGAGTGACATCCTGCTTAGGTCCAGGGCTGTAGCAGAGACAGACCAACCAGTCTTGGTACCTTGAAACTAAGCCAGAAGCCTTCCCATGACAATGCGGCTCACTGCCATGTATTAAGTAGAGGAGTTCTGCCAGATCTGCTCTGCTCAGAAATCCAGGATAAGGTTTCCCTGTCCAAAAAAAAATAATAATCTTATTTTCTTATTCGGATCTTATTCTTTTCTTGTGACCGCCCCTGCTTCTTTTCCATGGGGTGGGGGGAGGGAAAGAAAGGGGCAGGCTTGTCCCTGCTCTCTCAAGTTTGCAAGTCAGAAGTCTCCAAGAGCCCAGTGCGGCTGCTGAGCCGAGTTGATTCCGTTTGAAGTTTTGATGAAGTGTACACCGAGACCTCTCCGTGGAAGCAGCCGCGGGGATCACATTCCAGCTGCCGCTTGGTCAAAAGGCATAAGAGCAAAGCAAACGAAGCAAAGCCCTCTGTACACAGAGCAGGTTGCGTCTCTTGATGGGAGAGTCAATAAAAGACGGGACGGCTTGTGGCTCCTGCCCGTCACTGCAAATGGCAGAGAGTCCCTGAATGGGCCGGGCGTAGTAAGACTTTTTTTTCTGTCCGATTGAATGAACGCGAGGCGCGCACCGCAAACGGAGCACGAGGTTAGCTCGGAGGAGGTGCACATAAACACAGCTGTTCACGAGAGCACCAGACATGGATCGTACCACTCTGGAGGCAGGGGAGAGCAGCCACAGGTAGTTTCCCTCCTCTTCGCTTCTCCCCAGTTAAAGAAGACCTCCTTGGTGGCTCCTGGTATAAAACTGATGGGCAAAACGTAGCTGATGGGAATCTAGGTGCGAGGCAAGAAGGCTCTTGGAGCAGCCTGAGGGAAAAGGGGATTGGTCCAAGCTAGAGGGACCCACGGAGAAAGCCGGCTTAGCAGGTGCCCTGATACTCCAGGCTTCACAGCCTGAATTGAAAAAGAGGCAGGATATCAAAGTGGGCAGAGTGTTACAAGGAAGCCCGGGAAGCAGACGCTCAGTCCCATGGCTGCAAAACTCTTCAGGTGGGTTTCTCTCTCTCTCTCTCTCTCTCTCTCTCTCTCTCTTTCTTTCTCTCTCTCTCTCTCTCTCTCTCTCTCTCTCTCTCTCTCTCTTTTTGTCTTCCTCCTTCCTTGCGTGCTGCTAGCAACCCTTCCTTGCATTGTCCTCCTCTGGGAAGGGAGGATGAAAGCAGTCCGGGTTGGGCTGCGTGGGAAAGAGCCAGGATTCACCTGACTTCAATCTGCAGCTTAGAGGCTGGCAGGGGAGAAGGCTACGGTGGGGATTCCGCCTTTGAGCTGGTTGAATGCCCATCGGTTCAACTCATGGCACGCTTCCCCTGACTCTGGCTTCTTGCTGAGAGAGGGGCAAAGCTGGCTGGCGGTGAGGAATGGCTGAGGAAATTTTTGCCGTGGCACAGGGCTGGGAAAAAGAGCCCTGGGAAATGGGATGCTACAGATAGCCCGAAGCTCTCTTTCTGCTGCCTGGAATGAATCCCTGCCCTCTTTCTTTGCTCTATCTGTATTTTTCCCGTTTGCCTCTTTCTACAGGAATCCCAGGCAGAATACATTTCAGTTTCCCCCTATTATTGTCGCCGTTTTTTTCTATTTGGCTTTTGTTATATCTTTCTGCCCAGAGGAACTGGGATTTTTTTTCGGCTGTTACTTGTACTACTCCGTTTTAGTACATAGTGATAATCTACTGCCTTTGGATTCTTATGCGATTTCCTTCTGGAATTTCATAATTAAATCACTGCCTTAAAGAAGCCTGCCTTGTTAAATTGCCTACAACTTGCTTTAAACACACATACATACACACACACACCACTGGTGGCTTCTTATTTTTGTGATTTTGTTTTCATATACTAGTCCTGATGCAGGCTTGTTTTTTTAAAAAAAATCATATTCAGATATAAAAAGTATTCTGAATTCTCTAGCATTTATTTCAAAACCAAGTCAGGTGTAAATTGGATGAAATCCAACCCAAAATTGCAGAGTGCCTGCCATGTGCAGAAAATAGCAAGAGTAGACGATGAGTATATGATAACACTGTTGTGGGGGAAAGGAATAAATAGAAAAAACGCAAGTGAAACGTTTGTTACGCACCCCCTGGGTGCTAGTTAATTTGTTTTAATTTGTGTAATGCTACCAACCACAGAACAAAGTGGCTGATTTGGGGAAGGCTGTGCAGGTTTCATTGCTTCACTTTGGCTGCATCCCCCCCTGTTCTTTTAGAAGCCAGAAAGTAGTCCAGAGTGTCACAGGGCAAGTTAGTCATTTTCTTAGTAAAGTTTTTAACGCACCTTATTCTTTAATTTCATTTTTGTCTTAGGCTGACCTAGATATCCAATATTGCTTTCTTCCAATATACTGCTGTTAGTTTTCAGACATTAATGAAGTCTTGGTTGAAAAGGAGAGGTGCTCAGTCAAATGTCCAGTAAGTCAAAAGCTGCATGAAAAATGGGAGTATTTAAGTGGAAATAGGTTAGATCTAGAAAAGCCTAACCTGAACTTCCACCTGGCTTTTCAGTTTGAAAAATCCATAGTTGTTCATAATGCTGAGGCCACGGTTCCCTCAAAAGAAGTAGACCATAAATCTCCCATATGTATCAGAAGGGCACTTTCAAACCATCAGTGCTAATTGCATGAACCTTCAGCCCCATGGGATAACTCTTCTCTCCCAGAAAATGGGCTGGACTGTAATAGTCATGAAAACAAATCAGTTTTAATCACCCAGTCTCTACTTTAGAACTACAAATCTGCTCAAGAACTTACATTAGCACAAGAGGCTGAGTTGCTGGCTGGATAGTTCCTGAAACTTAACTCCCCTCCCCTTATTTGTTTCTGGAAATGTATTTGTTTGTCCAAAGATTAGCAGAGTAGAGTCAAGTTCTATTGCAGGCTGATTGTTCAATCTCTTTCTCAGCCTCGGCCTTTGCCAATTGGCCACAATCTTTTCTCTGTAGAATGGTTACTTGGTAATTTAATATCTTGAGATGTTTCTTTAAAGCCAAACTACGTGGCACCAAATTGGTGGCTTGCAGGTGCATTTGGTTTTTTGTTTGTTGGTTTGTTATTAAAAGTCTAAGTAGCAAGGGTGGGGAGCAGTAGGGAAAGGTACAGTCAAAATTTGTAGCACAGCAAAGTTTCTATCCTCCATAAGTCCCAACAACTACTTGGCCCCCTCCGGCACCTGGCCCCTAGTTTCTAGAGGAAAGTTCTAATTGGCTCCCTAGGCCTACATGTAGCTAGAACAGAAAGCACCATTCTGGGTGCCCTTGAAAGGAGGAATTGTTAGATGGCTTGGCTTATACGTTATAAAATGCTGAGGTGCTTCCAAGTACACAAATATAGAATTTGTACTGGAAATTTATGCGACCAATTTGATTCTGACTCTATTAAATAATGCTGTACTCAAACTGATTTCCCCAACTCCATTTCTCTCCTTTTATTAATAAAACACAAACTTTATTTCAAATTAATGAACTGTGTAGATGATCTTCTGCTTCCCTCTAGCAATATTTGTTTTGGTTAGGGGTGCGTGAACAAATGCATGTGTGTGAAAGAATGAGAAACAGACTCGGACTGCTGTAAGTCCTGTCTTTTTCTTCTTAGTTTTTTTTTTAGTTTACAACTATTTTTTAATATATTAAAGCACTATCACGTTGCCTTTCCATGTTAGCTACAAATAGTGTAAACCGTTCCTATTTGAAAAATCTCAATAGATTCAGTTTTCAAAGAACTTTATGATTAACAAATAGAAACATATTTTGAAATACATGATGGCACAGTGTCTTTAGAAATGAAATTCTCTAACTTGGTGTTTTATTTAGATACTCATGCTTTTACAAAAGAGTGAAACAGGAATAAAAGTATGAGTTAATCAGATAGAAATGTCATTGCATGACTGACATTCCATGACTTGCCAATTCAGCAAGACCTGAAGAAAAAGTTTTCTTCAATGTACCTTAAAAGCTTGTCAGCTGTGCACTTAGAATTCTACAGGTAGGATTTACAGGTGGTGCCCCACCTGATTTCTAACAATGGGTTAAATGGGAAAAGCGTCTTCCCCAAGAGGCACATTCTCTTAATTCCAAATCAAACAAGTCTGGGGACTTCTGCCTTAAAGGATAACTCATTTTTGAACGTCATGTCACAAATTCCATCCATGAAAAGAAGAGATATCTCTGCCCCTTCTTGTTTCTCATCTGGCCTGTTAATTTCTCTGCCAAAGGATTCTGGGCCTAATGCCAGATTCTTCCAGCAAACTTCTACAACTTAAGTGAGCTGGCACATGCAATATTAAGAGCACAAGTCCAGAGCAGGAAATCTCCTGAGGACTTTGCTAAGCTCTGTGTTCACTGAATGGCCTGATCTGATGCTAAGCTGTTCTTTCCGCTTTAGCCTCCCATTTGGAGAATGAAAACAGTCATCAAGCCAGCTGCTTACAAAGGTGCAACATAAGAAAAAACGGAAAGATTGGCTAATTATATTGTTAGGAAAAATACAGTACAGTAGGGCATTTTTGATATGAAGTATATACAATACCAGTGGGGCAAAAAAAAAAAAAAATCAACTAGGAACTAGGAACTGCTAGACACATTAAGTTCAAGATGCTGCTAATGAATGTCAGGTCTGCCTGTAACAAAGCTAACTTGTCCAATCAGGGATAAGAGGACAGACTTTGCATTATTACTGATCTTAGCTTGGAGGAAGAAAGGGTGATCCCTCTCATGGAGATCTTCCCAGTTGGGTTTCATGTTTTGCTCTCCATTGGGGGAGGTGGGGTTAGGGGAGATGGTGTGGCAATTGCATATCAAGAGACCAGTGGTGAAATCCATTTTTTTTTACTACCGGTTCTGTGGACATGGCTTAGTGGGAGTGGTGTGGCTTGGTGGTGTGGCTTGGTGGGCGTGGCTTGGTGAATGTGGCAGGGGAAGGATACTGCAAAATCTCCATTGCCACCCCACTCTGGGGCCAGCCAGAGGTGGTATTTGCCAGTTCTCTGAACTGCTCAAAATTTCCGCTACCAGTTCTCCAGAACCTGTCAGAACCTGCTGTATTTCATCCCTGCAAGAGACTTTAGTTGCAAGGATCATTGATTCACAGATAGCCAGATGTGGAATCTTGGCTAGTTATGTGCATGTAAGTACTGCTGTTATCCCATCTTCCCAACTGCACAGCAGCATTCCTCACTGAGCTCTTGATCTTGTTATAAAGGTGCTTGTAGATTTGTCCAGGTTCTTAGTACTGGGTGTTCAACCACCTTTCCCTGGGATCAGGGAACCTAAGAGGTCCAGGTTTCTACCATGACAACCATGCATTTGTCCCAGGTAATCACTGACCTGATTCACATTGCTGGCCATATTTTAAATCTGGTATTCACCTCGGAGCATATGTATGATGATCTGGTTCTGGAGGGTTTTCCTTCGGTCCATTGTCATGGACTGATTACTTCCTTGAGACAATGGAGACACTAAACTCTGCAAAATGTCACACGGATATCTAATGGATCCAGCAAGTTTCTCAACTGATTTGAGTTGGAAAATTTCTAAATAGACTGGAAGGTTCTCTTCAGTTCCTTGTTGACCCCTGGAACAGAGAAACAATTAATAGGATCTCCCCTGATTTGCCCTTCAAATCCTGTGAAGGTCTTTTTGTCAGAGTTTGTTGCAAAATTTAATCCAGGAATAAATGTACAATACCAACAGCAGATTCTTCCAATGTGGTAGCAGTTACAGGCGAAACACAAGCAGAGTACAGCAGACTAGTTTCAGTTTCAATTGTAAGCAGACAGACTCAGAAGTTAAGCCACGCCCAGACTCCAAACTGTTTCAACTCCCATTGGCTGATCTGTTGCTATGCCTGTTCATTGGCTGACCTTGTTACCATGCCTCTATTTCAGTTCATGAATATTCTGACACTTTTGTGTACCAAGGAACTTGGGGATATAAAAAGTGAACAGTTTCTGGTGAAAATTTATTATTTTAAGGCACAGGTGTAGCAATTTATTGGATGCATCAAAACTACACAGATCAGCTTACTATGATACTGAAAGAACGAGGGGACACAGACTATTATATATCTTGGAGTCAATGGTATAATTGGATGTCAAACCGAGCTGCAAACTGATGTATATGATAAACATGTCACTTGGTATACGTAATAGATTTTTCTTGGCTATCCTATATATGTAATGGGACAATTTTACTTCCTTCTCACGCTGTGATGTAGACCGCTATAGATTTAATGTTTGTTTGATGTATAAGACAAAAAAACCCCCAAAACTACACAATTATCAACCTATCTTTAAGATGTTTTTTTTATAATGGTTATTAAGAAAGTGGAGCTAAATTTGTACAGGGCTCTGGAGGATATAAACTATCTGGACCCTTGGATTCAGATTTGGGCATGAGATACAAACCACATTAGTTGCTCCCATGGATGACCTACGGTATGTATCTGGAGGTTCAGTTGTCCTTTTTTGCTTTTTGTGTTTATTTTGTTAGTTATTTATATTGGTGTTTCTGTTCACTACCCAGAGTCACCTTAGTAAAATAAATAGCCATTTAAATGGAATTAAATAAAAATATTTCAGCAGATTTCAATAATGTCAACCACATCGTCCTTCTGGTGTGAGTTGGAGGCATAATCTTATGCTGGTTTTACTTCTATCTAAACAGGTAGATCCAGTGAGAAGAGGTGAGGTTGGAGACATGGACATTTTTATTACAGAATGTTTTCTTTCCCCTATTCAGTCTATGTCAAATTGCTAGGAGAGGATGTCTGCTGGTCTGGTGTGAAGTTATCATTATGAAGATGGTACCTAGTAATAATCTGAATTCTGTACCTATTGCAAAATGGATTAGAAGTCATTATCCAGTTCTGGTAGTTATCAGGATATGAATGGTGGGGAGTGGGGAAGACACAGAAATAGACCAAGCAAAGTGGAGTGGCTGTTGATTCAGGATAACTGATTCCATAACTACCATCTATGGCTCTTGATGGGGATTTTCTCCTCTGGAAAGAACAGTTTCACAGTCTGAGACCCTCTTAAATGTACTGTATGGTTCCCATCTTGAAGAACAGAAGAGAGAATGTCCAGTAGGGCTTTTGCAGAGTGTTGGATGGTGTGATTGCCATGTCCTGGCCTGGAACAGGATGTACTGAAGATGTTCACTCATATCCTTGATGTAGCTGAATTAGATTACTGTAATTGATGTTATAGGGGAAACTGCCCCAAAGTTTCATCTGACCTATTATACAGTGGCATGTGTACAAAGTGTTTGTAATAGCATTGCCATGTTACACCTGTGTAGGCTTCCAAGTGCAATTTCAGGTGCAATTATTACCTGTAAAGTCCTATATGTTCAGGGCTAAGGTATCCTATGTACCTCCTTTCCCTAATAGTTTCCGCCCATCCTATCCAGACAATGAGGGATCATTTGCTAAAGTCCCTCATTGGCCTAATGGTGGGTATTCTCAGTAGCAACTCTATTCCTCTAGAATGGCTTGTTGCCCAAAATGTGGATGGCCTTAATATTTATGGCCTCCAGAAAGCAGATGACTTTTCCAGTAGGAAAAGTCCAGTAGCACCATTTCCTACAATGTAGCCTGTTAGTCCAATTGCTATTTTAAGTAATTTTATTCCAGTTTTGTACTCTATTCTATCATGTAAATTCTATAGGCCACCTGAAGCCTGGCTGATTTTGGGTGGTACACAAATTTCATAAACAAATAATAAGAAAATAATAAAACCAGAAGGCAAATCTTAAGTTATTTTTTCATAGCATCTCTTGAATGCATTGCTGTGTCTATGTCTAGAAGTATTCTAGAAGTTGAGCTGCATCATCTGAGCCTCAGGAGTTAGTATAATTTTGAAGTTGATAGAAATCAACATTTTTGAATTACAATTTTCTTTCTAAATAGTTGAATGGAGAGGAGAATAATGGATGTCTTTCAGCAGTACACATTTGTCCATCTGACTTTCTTTCATACATTGGTCATACTTCCCTTCACTCAGTATCACTCCCCTAAAGTTACCTTTGAGCTGCATTTAATGCCTGGACTTGTCTGTGTACCTTCCTAAGGTATTGAATTTACATGGAGAACTGCTGAAAAGCTGTTGGGCATTTTTTCCCCAGTTGAGTCACAGGAAGAAGGACATAATATCACTTCTGTAATCAGCCACTGTTTATATCATCATAACTCAATATGTCTAAACCTATCAGATGTAATGAGGTTTCATTAAGAAATGATCTCATGCTAAATTGTCTAGGCTCGGAAAGAAATGTCCCGAGTATTAAGTAAGTACTTAATACTTAATACTAATCTAAGTACTTTTTTCTATCAACCACCAGGTGTGCATCTCCATTGTTACCCCATGTAAATGATGAATTTAGAGCTCAAAAAATTCCACAGTTTTTCTGTCTCACCTTGTTTAACTTCTCAGTCTCCTTAAAGAGATTGATTAGTATTAGATCCATTATTCATAGTTTAGATTCTAAATATTGTAAAAGCAAGAGAAACAGATCTTCCTATTTGTCCTCTCTATTATAAAACATGAGAAATTGGTTTTTTACAGTATGCCTTCATTTCCTTTCCTGTTCATTCTGTTGCTTTTTCTGATCTTCCTGTTAAATTTACGATCCCTTAGTCATCTTCCAGTTTCCATCATTCCTAATTGTTCTTTTTCTTCTGCTGCAACATTTTTTTCCTTTCTCCTTTCAGTGCTTCCCCCATTTCACCCAACAGCATTCAAAACCCTTGGAAGAGAATGCAATTGGTGCCACTGTTTTTTACTGGTTGAGGGCTGCATGAATGAGTATATCCAACAGTGAGACCAATGTAAGGTTGATCTAAAAAAATTGTCCAGATGGGATGACAAAAAACCTCCAGAGCCCTGGGCTCTTGTCCCAACCTCAACCCAGCTGTTTAAGTATAAGGTGACTAAAGAAACATCTGGATTCCCAGCTTCAAACTACTTCCCCTGGGATGTAAGCAAAGAGTGAATCCAGTAGAAGGCCCTCTCTGGTGAAGGCAGAATTTATCCCTAGAGTTTGCCACCCAAGAAGGAGGCTGGGGTATTTTTCAAAGTTTCAATCTAAAGTTTTGCATTTCTTTTTGTCTTGCAATAACCAGGATCGCTTGTGAATTGTAAGACTAATCTTGCCTTTATGGAATGCTACAATTTTCCAGCTCCCTAATGTATTTTTGAAGATCAGGTTCTGATAAAATCTACTATTTTCTTTTCTTTTACTATTATCTTAGTGGATGTATGTAATTGTTCCCCTTTGGGCTGATTGATTTAAGTAGTGTTTTTAAACAAAATCAACATATCAGCTATGCCCTACTATTGGTGCTTATGGTTTGGGTTGTTTTTACTTGTACAGTAGTAAATCCAGTACATCCAGGCTGACTAGATAGCTAATTTATAAAGGATATATATCAGGTTAACACAGCAAACACATGCAGAGGGGAAAAATTCATGGACCAGCTTCTAAATCCATCCTGTTTGTTGTTCTTTGCAAGAACCCTAGCTGTAAGTACATTTCCACTTGAAATGTATCTAGGTATTCATTCATGTTGATTTAAACAATGCCCAACTCTAGAGGACTCTGGCACTTTATATAATAAAAAGCTAGAATAGAGAAACACGTGTGCAGAAAACATGGATGGCTGAATAGATTCACGGATGGCTTGCTGCTGTATGAGGATATATTTCTTACATGGCTGGTTGAGGGGGGGGGTCGCTCTGAAACCTTAAAGGACTGAACCATCAAATGGACAGATGCTTTTCTTTTTTTTTTAAACAAAGCTACTGCTAGGTTTAGGGGAGAATGCAAACAAACAGGTGGTTAGCATCTCTTGTCTAATTTATTAGAGATTCCAGCTGTCACTAAAGTGTGTGTGGACTTAATAGTTGGTGGAAACTTAGCCAAAGACTTTGGTACTGTTAACAACTACAGCATGCATTATGACTACTTTTTTTTTTTTAAGAGAGGGCTAGACATCAATGGATAATGCATTTGGCTGAGAAATCTTCTATCTCCAGGGGAACAGTGCGCTCAACAGAAGTCACCAATGATCGAGGACTGCAATCGCTGAATGTCTGCTCTGTGACCTATGCAGAGTGAGGTTAATGTGATTGCTCAGTTCCTGGTGGAATTGGCCCAAACAAATAAGGAAAGAGGAGCTTGTGATGTCAGGGTAGGAATGGAAAGCAGCATCCAGATTTCTTCACAGTTTTCTACCAGGGACCGTAGCCCCTGGGGGTTTTGGATTCAGAACTTTGTCTCCATATTCTTTCAGAGGCAATGAATACTAAATATAAACACATGGAATTTCTTTTTTAAAAATTCCAAATGGATTGGAATCTCGACAGAGAAAAGACCAATGAGAAAATGACACAACCACAGCAGCAAAGTGAAACACCCCCTCCCCGCCACTTCATAAATAGCATAGGAAGCAGTTCTGAATATTTTCTAACCAGCATTAGCTCCCCCCCTCCCTTTCTCCATTCACCGATATTACAGTACAGATTAAATTAGCTTGGGGAAAATCTCCGGCAGCAGCCGCAATTAGCAAACAGGCAGACTCCTTCTTGTGCTGCTTTACATGGAAAGAAAAAGAAGGCTTTCAGTGCACTCTCATTCATTGTCATGCCCTTGTCTCCAAGCCCCTTAAGCAACCCCAGGGTGTTCCTGACCCCTGACCCCGCCTCCGACCCAGGGAGGGAGCTTTATGGTACTTTTTATAGCACCCTGCTGGAGGATTGAGGGGCTCTGGGCTGCTCTCAAGTCCAACAAAAGGATGGCTTGCTGGAAAGGTCTATAGTCAAAATGTTGAGTGCTTCTGATGACCCTGGAGTCTTCAGCGTCTGTCAGGGAAAACCAGTTTGCAATGGGCGAATCGCCATTCGAGAGCAGGGAGGTTTATTTTAGAAGGAGTGATGGCTGATAATCGATCAGTGCAATGCTGATGCTTTATTGACAGTGTCTTCTGTCCTCTTGCAGGATTGCACACCACTCAAGAACGTCACAGTCATCCGGGGTGCTAAAATGGGCTTCGACACAATTGAGGCTCTACCACTCTCTGGGTCATCAAACCTTCTTGTTGCTGCTGCTCCTCTTCCCAGATGGGCCGGCTGCCCTTCCTCTTGCTGCTCATAACTTGAAACCAGCCCTGCCTCCAATTGTAAAAGACAAACCTTTCCTAGTGACTTGGAATGCACCAACGGCTCGCTGTGCTGCTGCCTACGATGTCCCTCTCCCCTTGGACTCCTACGGCATCCTGGTTAATTCCCAGGAAGCCTTTGTGGGTGGGAACATTACCATCTTCTACTATGATCAACTAGGCTTATATCCTTATTACGTGAACACGACGGTGCCACCCACTGCGGTTCATGGTGGCTGCCCTCAGAACGTCAGCTTGAAAGACCACCTGGAGAAGATGACAAGGGACATTGCTGTGGCCATGCCCTCACACTCTTTTGCAGGTCTCGCTGTGATTGACTGGGAGAACTGGAGGCCTCAGTGGATTCGGAACTGGGACAAAAAAAATATCTACCGGGACATGTCCCTCCTCTTGGTCAAGCAAAGAAACCCCCATTTATCTGATTATGAAGCTGAGCTGGAGGCCAAATGGGAGTTTGAGACAGCTGCCCAGAATTTTATGACAGATACTCTCCGCTTAGCCCAATCTCTGCGCCCCAGTGGCTGGTGGGGCTACTACCTCTTTCCCGACTGTTATAACTATGATTACTTGGATGACTTTGAGGGCTTCACGGGGCACTGTCCCCCGGTGGAAGTGCAACGCAACAATGACCTCTCTTGGCTTTGGGAGCACAGCAGGGCCCTCTACCCGTCCATCTACATGGAAGAGATGCTGAGAACTTCCCCACAAGGGAAGAAGTTTGTGAGAGCCAAAGTGGGTGAAGCCTTGAGAGTGGCCGAGTTGCCCTCTGCCCAACACTCCCTCCCTGTTTTTATGTATGCCAGGCCATTCTACACCTACACCCTGAAGGAGCTGAGCCAGGTGAGATTCTTTCACTGTTTTTCCTTTGCTTCCCCATGGACTTTTGTTCTGAGTCCAGCAGAGTTCTTGGGCATCAAGAAATCTGTGCCTGTTTTTTGGGAACTGTGTGATAACTAAACTTGACCTGTGGATGGAATCTTGTAGGACAAAAAGAAACGAATTTGATTCCCAAGTTTCAGGCTTCATTTGGGAATGGGAGAAGAGCTGTCCCATAGGTTTCTCAGCTAGAGATGCCAAACGGCATCCAAATGAGAATCACTTGAGAGATGAAAGGGTGATGTGAGTGAGCCATTTCACTTGGATTAAAACATACTCTGTACTTAAAAATGGAGGTATTTTAAAAATAATTGTGTAACACTCTTCCTCTTGAATGGGCAGGATACACATAATTGCTTCCAGCCCTCCTTTAAAAAAATATTATTTTTTTCCCCCGTCTAGTTGTAAGATCCCTATTTAACCTAGGCTGTAAATCCTGAGCAACCTGGGGCTAATGCAGAGCCTGTAATACCCGCACTCAACATTTTACATCATGGTATCGGCCATGCTCACCATTTTAAAAACCTTCTTCTGCTGATACAGAAAATTTTCAATTATCTCGGGAACAGTTCTGTATTTGTTCGTTGTGCAGCATTATTATGTATCACATTGCCTTTCGTAGCAGTGTGCAGTTCATTCAGCCTTTGGAAGGGGGTTGCATTTGTGTGGGGCTGAAGAATGACTGTTGGTAGCTGTAGTAAATGAGGCCTTTACTCCCAGGTGGTGGCGTTGTAGTCCCCTTCCCAAAGAGCAGCAACACCCCTTCCTGGCTGGTGGAGCTTTTCCTTCCCTTCAAGCTGAACTGGGGCAAGGTGCTATTTCTAAGTGAAAGCAGCTTTGCTCTTCTCATCTGGCTTCTTTGATGCCTCTCCGTCTCTTTGGTAGTTTTTGAGTCAAGGCACCACATTGTATCAAATTGCTCCTTTGATCTAACTTAAGGGAGCTCTGTGAAGCCAAGAAGGGCTTTGTTCCTGGCTCTACTTTAAAAAAAAAATTAACAGAAGAGGAACATTTTTAAAAAAGTGGATGTATATTTTAACTGAAGTGGGATGGCAGTCCAATTATGGAGGCTATAACCCTGATGATAGGTAGATGAGTGGATAGATAGAGGAGAAGCACTTAAAGAATGTCACAGCCCTATGTGCGCCAAGGATCGAAGCAGGAAACTTGTGTAAACAGGGAGATCAGCACGCTGGAAATGATCCATGGGGGCCTCTTGTTGAAAGTAGACCAGGAAGAGCTGGCAGAGAAGGTGAACCTCCAGTTATTGGGGAGGAATGGAGCAAAAGAAAGGGTCCTTTGTGGTCCATCACCCACCCCCACCAAGATGGATTGACAGAAGAGGAAATGCCTTGCATAGGATTATTGTCATAAATTCATGTGGAAAAAAAACTAGAGGAGGATGATCTCACTGTGCTAGAAATAACCCTTTTTCCCAACCCTTGCTTCAACATGGCAAACCCACCCGAGTTTTGTTTTCATGCATACCTTGATTGAGAGAATGGTGTAGAGCAGGGGTGTAAAACTCACGTCATCACGGTGTCATCACGGTGGCATCACGTGGTGTATTGTGACTTCCCCCCCTTGGCTAAACCGTGTGTGGGCGTGGCCAGCACGTGGCGCATCCAGCCCGTGGGCCACAAGTTTGACAACCCTGGTGTAGAGAATCATGCAATTGGGAGGGGCTATTTAGGCCAGGTTCAGTGCAGGAGCCAAACTTAAAGCATCCTTGACAGATAAGTACCCAGTCTCTGACTGTATATATCCCATTAAGTGATAATTGACTTTATTACTTGTAGGGTTAGGAAATTTCCCCCAAGCGTCTATTAAAGCGGAACATGTTTTCTGACAACTCGCATTCATTTTTTTGTATTCTGTACACTAGAGCAAGAATTTTAACAGAGAGATTTTATTTCTCATGGAAGAGGTTACCGTAAGTGTCCTAAGGATTCAGAAATAAGATCAGTTTTTTTAAAAAAAAACAGACAGAAAAATAGGAATTTTTAAAACTTCCAGTATCATGGAATCATCAGCATCAAGTATTGTGATTTGTAAATGGCTACATTTTTAAAGAAATCTGATCACATCACTAGGGAACAATTCTAGAAGCAAGTTTTCATAAAGTAAATGGCAAGAGGTTGTAGGAAGCCCCCCTCCCCCAGAAGAATGAAATATTTTGGGAAATATTAAAAAGGCAGGATAAAATAATTCCCCTGTAGGAAAAATAAAAGAAAATCTTAAGGAGGGCAAAAAACAGCCCCAGTTTGCCTGCCCCAAGCAGAAACTGAGGAGGCCAGTGTTTAGAAATGCAGATTTGGTAATCCATTCAGAAAGATTGGGTCAAGACAGAAACAAAAGGTTGACAAAATTAGCTCAGACAAACACCTAGAATTTGCATTTTCTCTTTTGCCTATAGAGGCAGCTATGACCCCTACATAATCTCTACATGACCCACATAGGAATCCAGAAGGTATAAAAACTCACCCACTCTAAACTCCATTTTGTTTGCTGTCCCTGAATCCCATGTGGTTGGTGGTTCTGCTTCATCAATAAAGGGAACCTTTCTTTCCAATCAGCCTCCAGCCTCCATTTTATTTCCAGTGCCTTTCTCCCGGCTTGGAATTGGACCTGGATATTTCTTCCAACAAGGTTCACCAGAAAAGTCTCGACCTCTTTCTTGTTTATTATATACCGTATTTTTCGGAGTATAAGATCACCTTTTTCCCCCAAAAAAGAGGATGAAAATCTGAGTGCGTCTTATACTCCGAATGTAGCCCCACCCAGCTTCTCAAAGGGAGGTTTCAGAGGCTGAAAAAAGCATCAGAAATGAAGCTTCAGAAAAGAAGCGTCCAAACAGAGCTTCAGAGACTTTTTTTCTGAAGTTCTGTTTCGGAGGCTTTCAGAGGCAGAAAAAAAAGCAAAAAAAGCAAGGCACAGAGCTCACAACCAACAAACCAGTTGCTAAAATTCACCACTGGGAACAGCGGATTGGGGGTATTCCGGGAGGCCGATCCACCTGCCAATCAACTTTTTTCTTGTTTTTCTCCCCAAAAACTAAGGTTATACTCCGGTGCGCCTTATACTCCGAAAAATATGGGTATTTATTTTTTTCACATTTTTGAACTGTTCCTTCTTCCTCAGAGAGGGACTCTGGACAGTAGACAATAAAATGTTAAACTATAGAAAAAGCATACAAAAATCTAAAATTTAGAAGGGGGCAAGGAGGATTAAATCCTGTTGCTGCTAATTTCTTTGTGATGGTTTCTCTTGCTGTTCTAGACAGACCTGGAGTACACCATAGGGCAGGCTGCAGCCATGGGTGCTCATGGCCTTGTGCTCTGGGGAGACGCAGAATATTCTCGGAACCGGGTAACGTAGTTCCATAACTCTCCATCCTCTTGTCTTATTCTTTCTTTTTCAATTCATTTTTGCTCATTACTTGCCACAGAGTTGAGGGTAGACCTGAGGCTGTCTGTATCTCTTATTACCTGGTAGTTTTTAGATCAGCTTGCATACAGTGCAATTTATTTCTGTAATAAATAAAGGGGTCATCAGAGATTTAAAATCCAGTGTTAATGAGAAATTGGAAAAAAAAATCAATATTTTTGACAGTCTAGAGATAGACAAAGTGTCACATTTCAGATGTGGCTGAATTACATCTTCCAGCAGCCCCTATCAGGCTGGCTAATGGTGAAGGAATCTGGTAATTGTCGTTCAGCAACATTTGGTTATGCACCTTTGGACTTATCCTTCGCTTTGAAGTGACATCCTGCATCTGGGTTATACTATTTCAAGCGTTCGTGGCAAGTCTTGCATCGTTAGTAGCTATTCTGTAACAAATTAAACATCCATCATAGATAGAAAGATACTGCGAGGAGTAATTATGGTCTGTCTGTTCTTCGGTTTCTTGACAAAGAAATATGGAAGAGCTGTTTTATTTAGAGGGGTATTCCATTATGTGAGTTCTGACAACTGTTTCAAATGGAACAGCCAAGACCCATTATTCCCCTTGGTGAGAATGCCGCATGGGGCAGGCTTGCCTTGAATTTGGCCTTTAAGGAAAGATTGAAGTGTTAGGCTGACCATCTCTTATTACAGGTTCCATACTGTATTAGTGCAGTTTAGTGCATTAATGCATGAATAAAACACACAAGAGAAACAATATCCTTTCTGAGATTTCTCATTGGTATAACAAGGGAAGTGTTCTAAGACTGGCAATTTCTCTAAACGGCTCAGAGTCATTTTTGAGCAGTGCAGAAATGTAATAAATAAAAAAAAATGTTTCCATATAGTCTGTCAGTGGATCGTGATCTCAATTTGGACTTTCTAAAACTGTTATCCCATGAATTTCCTCAATCTGTAGCCCCCCAAGAAAGGTATTCTAGGGATCACATCATTTTTTTAGATTTCTTACCCCAAAATTAGAGAACTAGCCCTACTTCAGAGAGAAAAAAATCAGATACTGAAAACACTTTCTCCTTAGGCACTTGGTAGAATGCTGTACGTCTAAAATGGATTCAGCCTTAGCCAGGCAGATTTTTCTCTGGATTTATATCAATTACGGTAATTGCTGTGTTTCTTAATGTATATCTTCCCCTCTCTTACAGACCAATTGCTTAAAGGTTCACAAGTATCTGACAAGCACTTTAGGCCCATATATTGTCAACGTGACCAGGGCAACTGAGCTCTGCAGCCGTCATATCTGCAATAATCATGGCCGCTGCATTCGCCGGAGAATGGACTCTGACGCTTATTTACACCTTGGCCCTAATCCTATGGAGGGCATCTCCACTCTTGAGTTGGCAAACAGGACTTTAAGCCAACAGCAGAAGGTCAAGATGGAACAGGAGTTCGCCTGTCATTGCTACAAGGGATGGAGTGGCAAAAGATGCCTTTTCAAGGGGCACAGCGTGCGATTGTGGGCAGACAGTTGGTGCATTTACAGCACAGTTTTGTCTGTACTTTGGATAAGGTATTTATGAGCATTTGGACTAGTTGCTATAAATATTGTGAAGCCAATACTGTAAAGTGAATCCTATATCTTTCCATGTGAGAAAGGTACAGGCATGGTGTTGGGTAATAAGAGGCATTGTCGAGTTGCTGTAACTCTCCCTGACTTCCCAGGATGTCCTTCTCTTGTGGTGTTTCACTGGGAAAGTTGGCACGTGTGGATTAGTCCTATCTATGCAGGACTTCCCATACACCAAGGATGGGCTGCTTGGGCTCTCCAGAGGTTGCTCGTGTATATCTCTCAGCCATCGATGAAGGATTGTTGGAGCTGAAGCTTAGCCCTTGGGGAAGAACACAGATTTTCTACCCAGAAGTTTTTTGGGGGGATTTCAAAAAAGTCGAGAAGGTGGTTGCAACTGCATGATCACAACAACTATTTGGATTTGTTTTTTGTTTTTGTTTTTGTTTACTTCTCCAGCAGAACTTCATTCCTACCCCAGCAATACACAACAAATAACATTCTTTTTAGTCTCTAAACTTCTCACCAGCATACAAGCATCCTTAATATTTGAGGTGCACGTTTTCCTAAACTGTGACAAAGACCGTAATTTCCTCTTTCTTTTGGTTGAATCAAAACTGATCTAAGCACATTATTTATATACAGAGCAAACCTTTCCTACTTGAACCAACTAGGTGTCCTCCAAAATGTGATTGGTGCTGTTTTAATTGAAATATGTATGTAGGTAAATATGTGTACTTGTCAGGCTACCTCTCTTATCAAGGAATGGGGGAGAGAAATCTTAATTTTTTAAAATTAAATATTTTTCATGTGACCCTCAGTGCCTTGGTGCTTCATTCTTTTATAATGCTATGTACTGGAAGCCAGAAATATATTTCATCTTGATTAGCCATGAACATTTTTTATTTATATGAGTTGGCTCTCATGGCTGTTTGTCTCCTGAAAACTCTCAAATCTTTAATGTCTTCCTCCTCTCTTTGTACTGTATACTGATGCTGTTGCTACATCCAGGGCCATTGCTCTAAAAGCATTGGAATACTTTAGACCAGGGCTGGATGTGTCATGCACTGGCCAGGGCCATGCTCGGTTTAGCGAAGGGGAAAAAAGTCACGATACATCATGTGACGCTGCCGTGACGCTGCGAGTTTGACACCCCTGCTTTAGACACTCCTTCAGCTCAACCTACCTCACAGGGTAAGTTTAAAATTTGAAATTGGAGGGAGTGAGTTGACATACTATATCTAGAGGAAAAGCGGGCTAGAAAACTCTAGGTTGAAGTCCAGCAGGTGCAGCCTTCACCTTTAACAGCATCCCTGCCCAAGGAAAAACTGGCCTTGTTTCCAATCAGCTTGACACATATGTGGGTCCTCAAGGAAAAGATTGCAGCTTTAAAAGCAACCCAATGTTGCTCTAAGGAGCCACATTCAGACAATACAGACAAATGCAGATAGAGTGGCTTTGCAGGGTGATGAGAAATTCAATGCACATTCAGACTGCAAGAGTTTGGATCATGCCGGAGCCCTGCAATGTGCAATGCATTATGCAGTTACTCTGTACCAATGGATGAGTCATAGAATGATTTCACCAACGTCCTAGCACAATTTACAGAGGGGAGGGCTGCTCACTCTCCGATGCTGCTCCGTATGATCAGGGCAGTATTTGTTTGCAAAGCCCTTATGCAAAGGAGGCTTTTGCAAGTAGAATAAGGCCCTCCACTGCATGCCAGCCAATTTCTGCAACCCGGTAGAACCCAACCACACCTCTCTTTGTCTCCTGTAAAGGTGATGGGATTAATGCTTACACGTTCCTGCTAAGATGGGAATCATGAAGGCAGCATTTAACTTTGGTTGCCAACCATTTCTTTTTTCTGGGGGTGGTATTTTTGTTTCTTTGCTCTAACTTCCTTCTCACTCATTCCTGATGGAAAAGCTGTATTTGTGTTAGCAAGCTGGTTATGGCCGCTTCAAGAGAGTAGTTATGTCACACAATGACCTTTACCTAGATTGTTCGTTGGTGTTGATTCAGATTTCATATATCCTATATCAGGGGCATCAAACTCATGACGTCATGTGACATTTTTCTCCTTTGCTAAACCAGGCGTGACTAGTGCCTGATGCATCCGGCTCCTGGGCCAGGAGTTTGACAGCCCTGTCCTATATCAAAGGCCCCTAATCTTTTGGGCACCAGGGATCTGTTCTGTGGAGAGAAGTTTTTCTGCAGACCAGGCGTAATTTCGTGTGCTGCCTTCATCCCATGTATGGGGCTTCACTTGTTTGCATGCGGTTTCTGGCATGTGAGAGAACAGTGCTGGTCCATGGACTGTGGGTTGGGGAACCCTGTTCTATATAACTGCTGTCATACATATCAGCATTTGCGATCTAAACATCATAAAGTGTATTGGTGGTTGTTTGTTCTCTGAGCTTGCTATTTGGCTTCCAAATATTTTGTCACTAGGCTAGGTAACATCATCAGCGGAACTTTGGTTGAAGCATCTTGATTTAACAGCAAGCTCAGAGAACAAACCAGCAACAACATCTGCCACCCGAGCTACAAATATTTTCCATCATCTCTAAAGTTTATTGGATTGCTAACCCACACACCCATGGCTTGGGACAGTTATAACCCTCCTACTATACGACCATTCTGTGCTTTAAGAGACTGGAGGCAGATGCTGTGACAAACATTACTAAAGTATAAAATGTAAGTTGAAATAACAAGAAAATGAAAAAGTGTGCAGAAAAGCATATCCATAGGGTGGAGAACAGGAATGCTGTTTTTATCAGAGACAGATTGGGGGGACGGGTATTATTATGTATCCATGGAAGAAAACAAGCCACTGGCTGCAAATTCTTGGTTATCAGATGCACACGTGCTCATGTGCTGGGATGACTATAACAGCCTGAACAGCCCTTGTGTGCAATGCTACAGCAATGGAAATTAGCTTAATGCTAATCTGGTGTCCACAGAACATGAACTGAACTGCAATATTAGCAAAGAAGTAGAGTTGCAGTTGTGTCATGGGAGCAAAATGCTACTTATTGCACACTCCCCAAGCTGTAAATTTAATCCAGGTCTAGGTTCATTTAGTGCCCATTCAAAGTTATATCACTGAGAAAAAAAAGTGATTTATGACCATTTTTCAATTATAACCTTTGTAGCACCCCCATGATCATGAGATCAAAATTCAAATGCTTGATAACTGGTTCATACTTACGACCGTTGCTGTGTCCCAAAGTCATGTGATCCCCTTTTTCAATCTTTTGACAAAGTCAATGGGGAAGCCAGATTCACTTAACAACCATGTTGCTAACTTAACAACTGGAGTGAGTCACTTAACACCTGTGGCAAGAAAGGTTGTAAAATAGGGCAACACTCACTGAACAAATGTCTCATTTAACAACAGGAATTCTGGGCTCCAATGTGGTCATAGGTTGAGGACTACTTGTACCACTTTTTCCCTATTTATTTATTTATTTATTTATTTATTTATTTATTTATTTATTTATTTATTTATTTATTTATTTATTTATTTATTTATTTATTTGATTTATATGCCACCCTTCTCCGGAGACTCAGGGTGGCTTACAATGCATTAAGCAATAGCCTTCATACTTTTGTATGTATGTATGTATGTATGTATGTGTGTGTGTATGTATGTATGTATGTATGTATGTATGTATGTATTTATTTGATTTATATGCCACCCTTCTCTGGAGACTCAGGGTGGCTTACAATGCTTTTAAGCAATAGCCTTCATACTTTTGTATATACCTGCTTAGTAGGGCTTTTTGCCCCCCCCCCCGGCGGTGTTCTATTTTATACAAAGTCAGCTTATTGCTCCCACAAACCAGGTCCTCATTTTACCTATCTCGAAAGGATGGAAGGCTGAGTCAACCTTGAGCCTGGTGAGAATTGAACTTGCAGTAATTGCAGGCAGCTGGCAGCTAAGTGCTACTTTAACAGCAGTTTAGTCTGCTGCGCCACCAAGGCTCCCTATGAATTCGGATTGGATCTTTGATGTAGATACCTGTGGTCCACGTAGATTTATGCCTAAAATAAGAAAGCCCTACCTAATTAATTGGCTGTTTTTGCTCAGAGCAGGAATTATGAAATGAACAGCTTATACACGAACTAGAATTGATTCCAGCCTCTTCTTCTCTTGGAGAATGACAGCTCTTGGCTTACTATTAAACCTGGATGTTAAATAAAGATGGATTGTTTATAGCAGATCATGTTTATCTAGGCTCATCATCTGATGGCAGAGATGCCTACTGAGTAAGCTGCTTACTTGCACCTCTTTGTGTGAGGATCTATCCGATGTATTAAGTACTTAACTTAAATCCTGGGCAAGGGAATTATGCCACGTGGCCTACTAATTTGGAGGCATAATACTCAGTTTTAGCTATGGCACAATGACATTCCTTTGCTTTTAAATTACAAATTGACTAGCTTATTATGAAATGCATGGTGCCTACACACCCCACAGAAGTTCTAGCTTTAATATATCCCAGACAGAAAATTCAGGCTATGTTCACCAAGTACATTCTCTAGAATATTTTTCCTGTCCATTACTAAGTACGTAAAAATCTAACTTCTCTCAAATGTCTCTCATCTAATAATGCCCCCAAATGCACTGAGCATCTGTGCCAAAAACCAGCTCATGAATACAGTTCTCACAGGGTATTTTTGTGATTCTTTTGGGGAGTTATAGCTGAGGTTCTTCTTGCACCAAAACATGTGAGCTGTGAACACTGAATTGAATCCATAATGGAATTGTGATGGCATTTGATACACAGAAAGAAGAAATGAATGGATCTCAATGCTTCTTTGGTATTTAGGACCAGATAGTGCCATGCTTTAAAAGGGCAACCTACAAAGCTTTGGAATTCAGCATAAATATACCATGTTTTCTTCGCTATGCTTCAGCTGCAGTTTAGACATCTTTCTTGGCACACAAGACATTTTTAAACCTGTACTTGAAATGTATTTGTCAGTAAGTCATAATCAAATGAAATTAACTGAACATGTTATTAACACCTCAAAGGGATAGTATCAAAGTGTTACTATCACTTTGTACTGCTTTGGTAAGACCACCTTTGGAATACTGTATCCAGCTTTGGTCACAATACAAAAAAATATTTGTGATCTAGAAACAGTGTGGAGAACAACTATGATAATTAGAGGAGTAGAGGCTAAAACATGATGAACGATTGCAGGAACTAGGTATATCTGGAATACCGAAGAGAAGGACTAAGGGTGTCATGATAGCAGTCTTCCAATATTTGAATATTTGTCACAGAGAATTCAGCATCAATCTATTCTCCAAGCACCTGAGGGAAACACCACAAGAAGCAAACTATCAAGGAGAGATCCAACAAAGAACGAAGAAAATTCCTGACAATGAGAACAATTAAGTCAGTGAAACGGTTTGCCTCCAAAAATTGTGGGTGTTCCCTCACTGGAAGTTTTTAAGAAGAGAGCCATTTATCCAGAATGGTATAGGCCAGGGGCTCCTGCTTGAGCAAGGGGTTGGACTAGCAAACATCCAAGATCCCTTCAAAGTCTGTTATTCTGTATAAGTTTTGCTTTTAAACTGTGTAGGCTAAGAATGCCAGCAATAAAGCTCTCCTTGCTGGATATTTAAGAATCAACATTATGCTTACAGATTTGATTTCAGTATTTTGGCAAAAACAAAGGAACAATGTTGGAGGGGCTCCTCTATCAACGCCTGGAGAATAAAACTGATCTTGGTATCCTTAATAACCAAACCAAGATAGGGCCTTGAAGAGATGTGAACACACCAATGCAGGCTATATATATGTAGTGTACAAAATGGGGTGGGGGTGGGGGGGGAATCCATGGTTTATTGCAGATCTGCAAACATGATCTCTTTTGCAATTACATGATGAACATCAAACCATCTGGCCTCACAAGGTAAATTCAACCACCTTGTAGCACTAGTTTCCATGAATTCCTGAGACATAAAATTTACCATAGCTGTTTATTAAGGGAATGGCCAATTGTATCAACAGATATCTCAGTCTACTAAATAAATACTCAAAACAGGTTGCTTTAAAAATACTTTAATTTTTAGAAAATACAGCATTCAAAACAGTATGCCCTGCCTTCCCCATAATTTCCAAATTTACATCATCGTATAGCCCAGTCAGGAATGTGCATCTCCCAAACTCCAAACCTTGATTCTTATGGAAGATTTGATAAATTACTAGCATGGATAAAGAAACAATCACTCCTAGCTTGCTTTTCATCTGCAGCGAGTTAAGCGCAATGGCCAATGAAAACTACTTACAGTGTTAACCATGTAGTCAATTAGACATTCTTTTAGTGTGCTAGAGATGTCAGTGTAAAACTACTATCATTTCAATTGTGCACACAGGAAGGAATATAGTTGTTAAGAGTATTAGCAAGGTCTTACTGTAAACATATAATTCTTGAAAAATTATTTTGGGACTCCTACAAAACTTTATTTCTATAATGAGATGTATGTTCTTGCAATCCCTCAACATTTTGTAGTATTGGTCAGATCTAATAAATGTTTTGATTAAGTGTTCATCCTGGATATAAATAGCAAGATACATTCTGATCCAAGCTAACTGGTTCAGAGACTATTCCACGATGGGGAGTCCTTTCTACATTTTTGTGGAACTTTTTTGCTACTTGGCAATTGTGTTGATGGTAAGTTTGTAAGATCACGTAACTGCAAGGAAAACAGAGTTCTGGAGTCTAGCTGACTCCAAATAGTCTCCATTTGTTAGCTTGGATCAGAAAACAGGGTGAGGGTAGGGATGAAGAGTCGGTTTTGATAGAGTAGACATATCACTATGATTTGCACACTGCACCGCTGATTTTATTGGTCTTCCTGTCAACAAATAAGAAAAGGGATTCACCAGCCACGAACACAATATGAATATGCATAATGTGGCAGCAGCTACTAAGATCAGATAGACAGCTGAGAAGCAGCTCTTTGCAAGGCTGAGTGGCTCTTCGTGTTTCATTGTGAAGGGGAAAGGGTGGGTTGTGGAGGGTCAGCTTGAGAAGCAGGCTGTTTGCCTTTTTCCCTTCACTGAAGTTCTGATCGGTCCTCATTTACCACTCGGCATACATTTGAGAGTACTGATTGATCTACCATCATTGCACGGTGATATTTGGCAATAATACCACAAAGGAATCGTTTCAGACTAATTTGGTGGAGTAAGATATGAAACAAAGGCAATGTTTGCTTACTTGCTTTTCTGCCCCATTTGTTGGAATCACGTGGATTAATTAATGCAATTAGTGAAAACAAGGAAAATGCCAACAGTAGTCATCCAAGTATGCTTAATATCTCATCGTGAACCCAAGGAAATGTGAGTTCAAGATCAGAGTAATAGCTGTTATCAGTTTTGGAATGGCAAATATTTGTTCTTCTGCATCAAAATATAATAGGGACCAATATAATTTTTGCCTAGGGGGAAAAGGACAAAACAATAAATCATATTATTACAAGAGTGTAGCGCTCTCAACAAAAACATAGAATGAAAGTAACAAAGCTATCTCTGCATATATGATGCAGAAAATGCAGAGGTCCAAATCCAAATATTATTGAATAATATCATAATCTCTAGATTTAGCTGAACTGATTGAGATTTGGTCACAGTAAAAATAAAGTAGTTAAAGAAATCATTGTGCCAAAGATCAGCAATGTAGAGCCTTCAAAATGTCCAAAGAACCACCTATTTAAAAAAAACAAAAAATAAAATTGAAATGTTGTGCACTGACCAGTGTTATGCTGAAATTTTGTATTTCAGTTGCTGATCCCTGCATTATGCCTATTTAAAGCAGAATTTTGCTGTCTGAACATGTTTTAAGACAAACTTTGAATTTAATTATTGTCTTAGAATTATATGCTGGATGCAAGATCTGTTTATTTCTAAACACTACAGAGACCTCAATTATAAAGATATCTGTCCCAAGGACTCCCAATAAACCTAAGGTGCAAAAGATGAAGAGTTAAAAACAAAATCAAGAAAAATTAACATTTACACTTTTCCCCATCCATGAAATGATGGTGCATATCACGACTTCCATCACAGACATTCTCATCTGGATTCTTGTAGTGAGTAGGGGATTGGATCTCAATGTCTAAATTTTGTCCTATTTTGAGAATCTGTGATTCTATTGGGGTTTTTTTTAGAATTGTGATTCTATATTTTTCCCCCCCATCCAGAATACTTGGAATTTGGCAAAGCCTACTGTTTTTTTCTTAAATTGCAGATCAGCCTTACGGGGGAAAGAGTGAGCTAGAGCACATCCAGCCTTGCTCTTATACAAACACCACTCCACTCAAGGCCACCATACATTGTAATACCATACAACTGGCTCTGTAAAAAAAAAGGCTTTTAATTTCATACGGAATTGTTTGCTTGAATGAGATATAAAAGCAGACCAATAAATTGCTCCTTGGGGACATAGGAGTTTTCATTATGTATAACAAATTTACCTGCTCTAATGATTTTTCAGGAGCTCCCAATCCCAAAGTCACAATTGTGGCTTTTTGTGATTAGGTCATGGTCTGCTTCTCCTTTAGACTTTCAAAGCTGATCATCAAGACTCTTCCCAAACTCCTTGACAGTTAAAAAGCCCGTCCATCATGTACATGGGTAACAATTTCATGCCATGGGCTATCCTTTCCTTCCACCTGGTTTTCATGGACCTAAAACAATTAGTCTTGGCAGACAGTATCTAACACATGGCATGAACAGTCCTCTGGCCAAAGTACATTCTGTGAAAAACAGAGCCCATCAGTATTCTGCGACCAATGAAAATGCTAATGTTCCTTTGGCCTGGCAAAGCTCTATCACATAACTAAAGATCTATGATGAGGGGATGCATTGGTTAGGTGTCATGATCTAGGATGAGGACAAACAATTGAGTAAATATAAGATGACCAAGGACCAAGCGACTTTACCTTAGATGCCCAGTGTGGATGGGCAAAAACACAGATCAGGAAGGAATCTACTTTCTCAGTTAAGTCAGAAGATAATCTCAGTTAAATCAATGCTGCGTTAGGCTGCAAGCTAGCACATGTGGAAAGTGTGACCTGGGAAAGCATATGAGAGCTACCCGTGAGGTGATTCTTGCCATCTTGATGTAGTTAAGTGAAAATGATGCCAATAAGGGCAGGATAACAATTATGCTCCCAGTTCCTAACCATCCATGTGTCTATCCTAGGCTGTAACATCACACAATGAGCCATCAAGATATAAGGCAGGGAAGAAAGAAAGGCAGTGTAAATAGCTTTCTGCAAATCAGAAAGGAAGCAGAACATCTTTTAAGAGAAATCCAACCCATCCCTGGATTTGTGATGGATATTTTCCCCCACAAACATTAAGGCCTAGAAGGGAATTATCAGGACTCTTGAACAAAATGAGAGTTTTACTTCTTCAGTAGCTTGGGAAACAAACAGTTTCTTAAAACCCAAATGACGCACCTCTATTTTGGAGGAAATCTGACTGGTCTTTTTAGCACTACCCTCATCCCCTCAACTCCACCCTACCTCAAAAACAATCCGTGGGACCTACTGCTCTTTGCCTTAACCAATAGGCAACTGACCACTGCATCAAATACTAAGGACACAGACTCCCTTGATAAGGGAATGGTGTTGACAGGATGGAGTGCCACTAAGTTATTGTTACCATACAAACAGTGCCTCTCTTTGATGGGGGTCACAGCACCCAAGGTAGAAGTTTATAACTCTCTCAGATGAGAGGCAAACAAAACTCTTTGAGTGGTGCAGATTCCAAGTAAAACAGGCCACAAGATGAAGCAATAACAGGAGCATCTATTGTAAGAAATATTTAAAAAAAAACAAAGGACAAAAAGCTCTAGGGAACCCCTTCTCCCTAGATTTATATCACCATAGAGCAAAAGGAAAGAAAAAAAAGAGCATGCCGTCTTCTTCCTCTTCCTCTCTGTCCCCCGATTCCACCCCTCCCACCCTGTTAATGAAACCGATGGACATGACTCTGAGAAAAGAAGTAGGGAAAAGGCTCTGGAGTTCAGTGGACAGGCTCAAATGCAGAGAAGTGGATTTCCTTGGAGCTGCAATGCTGGAGGCTGACCCTTCCTCTGGGTTTAACTGTCTTCTCCATTCTCGCCTGGTCCTTTGATAAGTCGCTTCTGTCCCCTTTTTCCCACAGGACCCTTTGGCTTGGCAAAAGCCTGCTTGAAGGCATGCTGCTTGGGGTGGACCTCATCATACAGGAACTCGGCCGTCAGCTCAGCTCCATCATCGATTTCAATCTGATACAAAAGAGAAAGGAAGAGTAGTCTTAGATCTGGCCACTGAGAACCTGAAACCCAACTGAGATTGGGAATTTCTTCTCAGTAATGGTATTCCACAAAATCACAAATGAGGAGGTGATAAGCCGCCTGGGAAAGCGAAGGGAAATCATCAAAGCCATTAAAAAGCAAAAGTTAGAATATTTCGGACATGTGATGCAACACCCAGAAAAATATGGCATCCTTCACTTAATCCTCCAGGGAAAGATTGAAGGCAAACAAGGTCCACGCAGAAGAACATCATGGCTTCAAAAGCTAAGAGGGACTGGTTTGAACAAAACTCAGCAGCACTTTTTCATGTGGCTGTTGACAAAACAGGATTGCCAACATGATTGCCAATGTCCGATGACAGATATGGCACAAGAAGAAGAAGAATGGTATTTCATTATATTTTTCTTCCCCCATAGCTTTCCAGCTTCCACTCCGCTCCACTCTGCTCCTACTTCACAGGGCCATTTTTAAACTTGTTTTGGTTTTATTTTCAGGACTTGAACATCTCCTCTTCTCATTAGAGATGAGTTCACTAAAGTCTTATCTTACTTTTCATGTTGTCCATGCTATTAGGACAGCTGCTTCTAGCATGTCCTTCCAACAATCTCTGGTTGCTTCAATCTTCAGATCCCCACATCAACCTCTTCCATACTGGTTAAAACTCTAAAAGCCTAGTTAGAATGGAAGAGAATTTGTCTTTCTTCCAGATGCTTATGAACTTACCTTCTTTGCAATTTCTAGGCAGAAATCTTGCTCTATGGAGTCAAGCAATCGGCTCTTGCAGCTAGAATACAGCATACGCTCTTTGATGCTACATTTGTAACCAGGCATGGAGTAGATAAACACTAGGAGAAAGAAAAAAGCAGATCAGGCATTCTTAGGCCCCCATAAAATTAATTCCACTAATCTATGTTGAAATAATGGCCATTGCATGCCATAATAGCATGTGACAAAACAAATAAATACAGTTGTATTTGTATACTGTTTATATATTGCACAGATGTAATGATACCAATTCTTATTATATCTAAAATCTATCACACACAAATTGGGCATTGATTTTAGAAACAAATTAAAACTTTCCCCATATGCTGGGCTGTGAATTCAAGTCTCTCTTTTTTTGTTTTAGGACTGGCATGAAGTTGTTTAAATATCTATGGAGATTCTCAGTCATCCAGGTCATGGTTGTCTCAAAGGTGTTTTTTTTTCCCCCAGAAGACAACTGGACTATATGTTTTTTTTCCTAGAGGAAGAAGACATTTTGAAACCTCTTCTTCCTCAAGGAAAAAACCTCATAGTCCACTTGTCTTTTGAAAAGAGCACCTTTGAGATGAAGTTGTTTAGTTTTGCACTGCATTTCTGGGCTATGTGTAGGAATATTTTTATTCCTTCTTTAGAGTTTTTCAGCGCTAGGCAGATCAGTTTTAGGTAGAGAGCAGTGGTGAAATCCAATTTTTTTTTGCTACCGGTTCTGGCTTGGTGGGCTTGGCAGGGGAAGGATACTGCAAAATCTCCATTCCCTCCCCACTCCTGGGCGAAGGATATTGCAAAATCTCCATTTCCACCCCACTCGGGCCAGCCAGAGGTGGTATTTGCCGGTTCCCCGAACGACTCAAAATTTCCGCTACTGGTTCTCCAGAACCTATGAGAACCTGCTTGATTTCACCCCTGGTAGAGAGGCAAAAGAACTTCCCAGCCAGCCGGACTGGGGATGCCGGGAGATTCACCTATTCTAATTACTGAGAGTGCTTGGATAAGGAATCCACCAGAGAGGTTTTAAACTCTCTCCCCAGATGGCAGCACCATTCTAGGGGGTAGCAAAAATACCCACTCCGTGTCCAAAGGGAGGAGTGAAACCTTTCCTCAGCTGTAGAATTGATTACAGCTTACCCACTGACTCCAGATAATCTCCCTCATGAGAATGTTTATACAGAAAGAAGTGATAGCGAGCAGAATCCTGAGGAATTCTTCTAGGCAGATCAGCAATTTCTGTAGCCTTTGTGTGGACCAGTTCTATGGTCTCCTGCTCCAGGTTCAGCTTCTGTTGAAACAAAGGCAAGAGGAAACAAAAATAACAATGAGGTGGAAACTCCAACAGTGCAACTTGTGCAAGCAGAGCATGCATAGAAACGAGTAAAACCTGGGACAATTAAACTGAAAGCACCCCTACCCTCACCCCCACCCTTACCCAAGAATCCCTTACCAGCTGGATGTAATTTATTTTCTTCTGCTTTAGTAGCTGAATGGCTTGTTGTGCATCTGGCTGCAAAGGGAAGGCCAGGCCTTGGAGAGTCTGGTGTTTGCTTTCGACGCTGATTTCAGTTTTGACCTGGCAACAGGAGTGCAAAAAAAAAAAAAAAAAAACAGACTGAAGTGAAACCCTGCATGTATTTCCTTTTATATCGTTGCATTTATTTTATACTTTTGTCCATTGAAGGATGGACCAAAAAAAAGTATAGAGGTACAAGAAAGATAGAGATGTAACAGGCAAATCATGCTACTAGCATCCAGAAGTGTAGGGATCTTTTCAGAAAGAGCCATTGTAATGCTCTACCTTTCCTTCCCCTTCCCTGTAGGACTAGAGAGTTTAAACCAGGAGTCTCCAACCTTGACAACTTTAAGACTTGTGGACTTCAACTCCCAGAGTTCCTCAGCCAGGCTGAGTTGAAGTCCACAAGTCTTAAAGTTGTCAAGGTTGGAGACCCCTGGTTTAAAGGATGTCTCTCTCTTTCTCTCTCTGTCTTTGTGCGCGGATTACAAAAATCTGTAAAAGAGAGAGGTGGGATGGATTGAGGTGGACATTGAGAACTCTCCACTCAAGTCCAAATAGAACTAAGTTCATTGGGTTGAATGGGGTCCAGGGAAGTGCGTTTATGATTCCAGCCTTAGGAAGAAGGGAGAATACACGAAGGCAGCAAATGGCCAGAACAAATGAGGCTTGTGGCTGGATGCAAAAAGGAAGGTCTCTTGTGCTTTTATTAGTTGTGAAGAAAAAAAGAAATCCATCAAGTGTAGTTTGCATAACCTGCTGAAATTCCATTCTCTACTCAACTGTTAAAGCCACCCTGCCCTCTTTTGTCTTTGTCCAAGCAAGAATGAACAGAAAAGCTGGATAGGAGATGCACTACACACCGATAGGCATTTACACCGATGTAAATCCCAGAGTTAAATGGGGTTACATCCACATTTACATGCCTTTGATTGTATGGCGTACAGAATTTCTTGGGCAAGCGACTTATCCTTTGACCACCCACATCGTCCATGGAAGTTTCTCAGATTTCTAAAAAGGCAGCCCATGTCAGACTGCCCTTTCTAGGCCAATGCAATGTGATGCCTAATATAGAAGAAGAAGGCTTCATATTTTGGAAGCGAGCAGAAGAGTAGATCTCAGATATAACTGGCTTTATAAACATTCTGGAGATGATACTGACAAAAACAAGGTCTGGTGGGCACGACAAAGGGGAAAAATATCTTTTCCTTTTGAATGGCAGCTTGTAAGGAAAATAGGAAATGAATTTTTCATCATAAGCTACAGTAACAATTAACCAATTTTGTAAAGCTAAAGAGGTTAATACTGAGTATGACACATACTTTTTAAAAGCTACCTCTTTGGGTCACTTCTGGCAAGAATCGATTCGTTAGGTGAGAAAGAATGACATTTTAAAAGCAACATCAGCATAATTTTTTCTTCTTAAAATAATTAACAGTACAAAAGCAGCTTTATAGCTCCACACAGAATCAACAGAGGGAAAATCATTAGATTTTAGTTTCATGCTTCATAGAGGAGAAAAACTAGGTCACATGCTTCATTGAGTAGCAAACAAAATATCACTTGTAAAATAGAACTGGCTAGGTCTACTTTTCATCAAGTGCTGGAAGTGACACTTTCAGATATATGAAACATTTGCATTTTTTATTTCTAGGCTCTAGAATAGTCTAGACTCTTACTTCTAATCTCAGTTATCCCACATAATTTTTATTTTATTTACAGATTTTTACCCTCAAAAGTTCTAAAGCAGTTTAGACTGGGGTTTTTCTGAAAACGTGTAGATAAATTTGTACCCAATTATAAACTTTTATTATTATTATTATTAAAAAGTTTTAACAAGTATTACAACAATTTTTCCCATCCCTCCTCCCCCCACCCCCCATATCCCCTCTCCCTCCCCCCACCCACCCCCGGACTTCCCAGAGCAAATTCAGGGTATAACATTTAACAAACATAAGCTAAAATATGCTAACTTTCTGTAGTCTCCAAACTCCCTCTTGCTCTTTAACTCCCCTTTCAACTAACAAAACATAATTCAAAAAGAAAATATTGGTTTCATTCATAAGCTATTTGAAACTTTTTAGTCCGATATTTGTTTTGAATATAGTCAATCCATCTTCTCCATTCTGATATATATCTTTCATTTGAATGGTCCTTCAAGTATGCCGATTTTTTTTTATTTTTATTTATTTATTTTATATTTTATATTTTATAATTATATTTTATTATTATTTTATTTTATTTTATTTTATAATTATATTTTATTTTTATTTTATTTTATATTTTATATTTATTTTTATTCTTTATTTTTTAAGGATGATGCCATATTCATACGGAGAGCCTTGGTGGTACAGTGATTAGAATGCAGTAATGCAGGCTCCTTCTGCTGACTGTCACAGTTGACTCAGCCTTCCATCCTTCCAAGGTGGGTAAAATGAGGAGCTAGACTGTTGGAGGTAATATGCTCACTCTGTTACCAGCTTAGAGAGGGCTCTAGAGCACTGTGAAGCAGTATATAAGTCTAAGTGCTATCGCTATATATTATTGAGGAGTCCTTGATGCACTCTGAGCTTGTTTGTTTTCTTACAGATGTTTCATTACCCAAACTAGGTAACATTAAAAAAGGCTAGAACCCTGAGTCATAAATATTCTCCTTTATTGGTATCCTATATTATTAAATATATAATTTGCACCTCTATAGAATAGCAAGTATTGCTCACAAAGCATGGCATAGGTTCTATAAGTGAAAGCCCTGGGCGTCAAATTTTGAGCGCCTGTGCTTTCAACAACCATGATAGTCAGGTAACCTGGTAAATACCAATTATCCTGAGTTTATGAATCTTTGAAAAAACCACCAACAGAAAACAAGAGGTAGGAGCTCTCAGAATGAAAGAAATGAAATTAAAACAACATATTACCAAAGGTTCTGTATTGATATAATGCTTTTTGACCATTTCAAGCACTATTTATAGTTCTGAAAGAGCGGTAAGTGATTAAACTGAAAGATGTCACTGAATAACCTCAGTTGCTACCTTTGACCAAAGGACAGGGAATACTTTTATGGGCATGGTCTACAATAGGTGAATGATTGATGATCTCAGGTAGTAACGCTCAAATGAGTCACAATAGTTCTAGGGTGTTTCTAACCAAGATAACTAAGTTTTTCAACCAGGATGATGAAATTTAATGCAAGTAAGTATAAAGATCAGAACTCTGACCTTTTCATAGCCAGAACACAGTGAGAGTTGAACTTTATGGAGGCATTATACATTATATGTTTAAAGGTCAATGGGTGGTTAGCCCTCTTTCCTTCTAAATTCACTGGGCTGAATTCCTGTCCATGCTGAGTCTTCCTCATAACAAATTGGGGGATGAGCTAGTTTAACACTTGGGGCTCTGGAGCAGAGTTTGATTGACATGGCCTAATCGATGTAAGTTTCTTTAGTAACAACGTGAACGTGGGTTGACAATGCATTTTTCCAGGGTGTTTTTTTTTTTTTTTTTAAACTTCACAGTCTAACCTTCAGATGGGGTCTGCCCTGGATCTCTCCCATTTAAGTACTAGTTAGGCATGACGTTGCTTAGCTTTGTTTGAAACTGTATTCCCACCTGAACCTTATGCTACAGAGATATTTCTCTTCCCGCTCTAAAAAAAAACAAAACCTTGGATTGATCATAAAAATAATGTAATTAAATGTAAGAGAATTCTACAGACTATAATGCGGGAGGCATATGAAGCGACAGAAATCTGATCTTCATTTTCATGTGGTATTTTTCTTCATTTTCTAAACAACACTAATAGGATCACAATGATGTGGGGGGTGGGTTGTACCTCAGGCTTTGCCCATGATACAATCATAATCAAAAATTCCCAGCACTCTGCTCTTCGTGTCAGAGCGAAGACCCCCTTTGTTTGCCAATACAAACTTCTAAGAACAGTATTTTCCTTGGGAGGGAAGAACATATCGTCAACCCTTTCTCTTTATATTTTGTGGTCTGAATCCTAATATTAAAGGAAAAAATAATTTGCCATTCTAATCTAGCATTGGCTCTAATTTCTAATCAGTGCAACCTTTTGGCATGTTTTGTATCAAGCAGCCATAATCAGATGGAGGGGTGTAATAATACAAGTGGAAGCTAAAAGAGATGCAAATCCAGACTCACCTACTTGAACCAAAATTTAGAGAAATGGAGCCCTTCCTAGCGTCACGTATGGACATATTTACTACACAGTGTAATTAATCAGGAGCTCCCAAGAGGCTTACTAAACTTATCAGTGTGAGATAGAAATCAATATACGTTTTGATTCTTTGTTTGAATTTTGACAAATTCTCTAATATTCTTCAAATTAAAATACATTTGTTGAGATAAACTGAATTTTTAAAATTCTTGTAACAATCAAAAAATAAAAAGAAATGATAGTAAATTAACTAGTAATATATGTTTGCCAAATTTATCAACACAATAAAAGCAGTGGAATTGTTTGAAAGAAATTCAAGACCAAAAAAAAAAATCTCGGTAATAGCACATTGCCAATCTTGTCTGAGTTTCAAACCTAAGCTGGGTCAGACACTTAGAATAGCACTTAGATGAGAGATCACAAAGGAATTCCAGGTCTCTAGACAATTGCAGGAAGTTAAAAAATATTAAATGAAGGTAAAGGCAAACCACTTGTATATTATTGCCAGGAAAATTTCATGGGTGTATCCACGAACTCACTTGACCACTTAAGACTTTACATTGAGGTTCTCAAGGCTTCGTTTAGCTTTTACAAAATCAAGCTATGAAAAGTGTGTGTGTGTGTGGGGGGGGGGAGACGGAGACTATCACTGAATATTTTTAAAAACCAACCTATATGTGCAGTTTACTCTAAAATAAATGCAGGGAATCCAATTTTTTTTTCCATTAGAAATTCATATTGTCCTTTAAGTAATTTATCTTTTATACCGTATTTCTCTCAAAGCAGTTTAGAGAAAAAAGTTTGCAAACATAAAACCATATAATAAAGTAAGCTCTCTCAGGAATTCTGGGAGTTGAAGTCCACAGGTTGTAAAAGGGCC